GCTTAAATGATGTTTAAGATTTATGCTCATAATTTATATTTATACAAATTAAAACAACATTTTTAAATGTTTAATATGAAAGTGAACTATGATATATACAAATATTTTTATTTGAAATACTATATTTTCATTTTTGCTCTAAAATTCAGCGTATTCTTCTTGAATCTCTCTGTCCACTATTGTAAAAAAAAAATGAAAATTAAGTCCACACATCTTCGAAAAGATAAAACTTATATGCAATAATTTATAGATAAATATACGTATAAAAAAATTAGTGAAATTTAATTTCAAACATAATTTGATTCTTATATTATCTAAATTTATATAGTTTTTACAATATTTTAACAACATGATATTTTTTTTATACAATTTTATTTTTACTCATGCCTTTGTGGGTATTTGAATAAAACACACTATAAAATCGAAAAATCAAGATCGTATGTTACATATAAAAATTCTTTATTTTTTAATTGATCTTTTAGAATTTGAAAAGAGATATTGAAAAAAACTATCTATTGGAATATGGTTTTACATATTTTCAATTAATTTATGAAGATAATTTGATGTTAAATGTTTACTTTAAATTAATCTATTGATATAACATTTTTATTTTGAAGAATCAATACTAAATCTTAAAATCTAGAGGATAAAATGTCAAAATTAAATAAAATAGAGGTTTTAAATTAAAAAAAATAGAAAGTTATTAACATCAAATGATATGTGGCAACCTCTCAAAGGTTCAATTAGTTGAAACCTTAAAATCTTATATAACATAGTGTGAAGATATTCATAAACAAAAATATAACGGTATGTCAAATGACCCACTTTGCCATTATTATAGGATAATAATACACTTAAAATATAGCGACGGCGTGCCTCAATTGTCATTACAGGATAATAGTCTTAAAATATAGTATCGGAAACTTACCTCCAATTCTGCTCTAGTGTGTTGACGATTTGGTTTTCTTCCATGTGAGGCGGCTCTTAGTAGCTATCGTCCGAGACCCGTGTCATGGCTCTTTGTGGTGGCCTTCTTGGAGGCTCTATGCGGAAGATCTATCTCGAAATTTTCTTGCAGCAGGTGCTTGTCGCCTCTCAACGATGGATTTCTGATTGTTTAGCGAATATGTCCCTCTACCGCAAACTTTGACCCATGCGCGGTTGAAGGCTCTCTTTGCTATCGTTCTCGAGATGAGACTCTTGCCAGATTAGCAGGTTTAGTCTTGGCTATCGTTCTCTGTGTATCTAGGTGGTAGGTAGTTGCGGATCTACTAGTGAGATTGAGGTTTTCTAGTAAACGTAATGATGGAACCGGATCTGTGAATACTAGTGCTGGAATCAGTGGCCTGATCGCTAATCTGTATAGAGAGAACAGACACACTGACCTCACAAATGGGCCCAATTTGCCAGAAAAAAATCTCCAAATGAATGGAAATCACAAAGAGTCATTGTCGAGCCAGAAATTTCAAAATTCAACTGTCAGCTGGAATTCATTCGATTTAGATACGGAAAGGACAAGCAATGTGGTTAGTTCAGGTAATACTGGGGTTGCTTTGGATCCAAATTTTGCAGAGAAGAATGACGATGATGTTGATGATGGTTGGGAATTTAAGACTGTCGAGGCTATGTTTCAATCTGCAGATGGAGGCTATAAGGTAAGCTGGAAGAATCCATCTGCCTTTTCTTATTGTTTTCTATAAATCTAGCGAGGAAATCGTATTGGTTTCTTAAACCATTTTTTAATGTTCTGATAGTCTTTTAAAATACCAAGATCAAGCTTTATGCTGACCTTGTTCTAATGTGCTTTTGCATAATAGGTGGTACCAAATACAACAAATTTAAGTTCAAGCATCTGGAGCTCACCTGCAAATGGAACATGTTTAAATTTTGATATTGGTAGAATAGATGCAGTTAAATCAGTTTTTGACAAGAACAATGGAGATGATGGTCCTTGATACAGTGACGGATGGGAGTTTAAGGTTGCTGAAGCAGGAGAGCCAAAGAACGATTTAACAAACAAGGTACAATCCTCATTTCATAAAATCAATTCTTCCAGTGGCAGATGGTACAAGCTTTACTTGCCGCGTGTTTACAGGAATCTAACGGCTGGGGGATCGGATTTGGTTTTGAACTCGTTTCTAAAATTGAAACAACAAATTCTTTTCAACCAAACTTCGAGAAAGAGCCACAAAAGAGGGAAAATGGCTCGATTTCCTTTCCAAGCAATGCAAATACGAATTCTGAAGGAACTTCATTGGCTTTTAAGCAGCCATCTTTGGAAACTGAAAAGGAGAAAGAGGTAATGTATCTTACAAGCAATGCAAATGTGAATTCTGTATAGTGTTTGTTTGAGAATGTGGATAATACATGGTATTTATTTTCCAACAAACATTAGGCTTCACAAATATTTTTTCTACTGGCTTTGAAATGAATATGTTTTGACTTGTGATAGTGTCATTACCTTGAACTTGGTGATATGTCATATCTGTACTACTAAAATGTACATTGTTTGATATGCTATGCATCTATGTTTTTCTTTGTAGTTAACATTAAAATCTATAACTTTGCTGAAACCGCTGTTGGTTTCTACCTTACTAAAACATTAATACGCCTATTCAAAACTGTTGCTAGTATATCTTTTCTTTTAGTGTTTTCCAACGTCGGTGCATATATATACTTCTCATTGTTTAACTTAATGAAAGTGCCTTCTGATATTCTTGATTTCGTGCTTACTTGCACTCAGTAAAAAGAAATGCAGAATTAGCCCATGGGTCTCTTGCCATCGTCCTTTTTTGAGGATAAAAAATTGGGAACCTCTGACAATTTGGTTCATGAGGATAATCTTGTTTCCGTCTGCGATTTCTCCATGAAAGAGAAGACTAAGGCTCGAAGTCCAACTGTGTCAATCAATGACCTAATATCAAGTTTATACAGTCAAGTGGAAGAGAAGAATGCTGTTAATCTGTCTGAAAAGTCTCATGGATATGGATTTGTCTCTGTAAAGGCTGCCAGTGATTCTAACATTGTAAATGGTGAGGATGATTCATGGGAGTTTCAGGGATCCACAAATACAATGACAGATCCGAGTATAGCAGCAGGTGGTGATGAATTTGACAGTGCTTGGCAGTTTCAAGGTTCTTCGCTGGCCTTGACAAGCTCTGATGTTGCAGAGGGTGTCAATGAGTTTTTCGATGATTCCTAGGAGTTTCAAGGTCCAGCACAGCCCGTGAGAGATTCCACATCAAGGAAAGGAGATAATGGTTCATGGAAATCTGAATATTATTCCGTGAAAAATGAAGTTGGGAAGCGATACTCTTTTCCATTAATTAGTATAGAGCATAAGGATTACCAAGATGTCTTTCATAAGCTGAAGACTGAACTATATTACATTGCCCTTAACCATCATAAGACTTTAAAGGTTAGTGTTTGGATATTTTCTTGCGTAACACATTCGTTGTAGTTTGTACATCCCATCTTTGAATTTTCATTACATCATTTATAGTTTAAACTTTTGGATATTGAAGGAAACTTATGACGTGGCTGTTGATTCTGATGAAGTCGCTGAAGTTCAAAAATGTGACGGTGAAATTCAGGTAGGTATATTTGCTGTTTACCTGAATTTTGCTTAGGCGAATCATGGGAACATTACAAACCATATTAATTTATTTGTAGTCATAGTAATACAAAACCAAGATAAAACAACTTGGAGACTCATGACAGATTACTTATGAATTTACACGGCAAATGTCATTTAAAATAGAATAAGATGTTTTGGTGCTGATGGACACTTTATTCCTTTTCTAAATTTGTGTGTTTCTCCTCTAGAAACTGCAAAACTTGCTGAACAGTGATGTTTTGATCAGTGAAGTCAACCTAGCAAATCTCCAACCTAGATTCTCTGGCATTACTGAACTTTGTAAAGCTCTCCAGGAGCCAAAGTTTCGAGTATATTCAGAAGATCTCCTGTCAGAGAGATTGCTATTAGTTAAGTTCTGTTGGACCTTCTCAGTACCCTTTATTTGGAAATGAATGCTTTTAACATGAAGATATTTACACTGTATAAATAATTAATATGTTATAACAGGCAAAGAAGGACTGGAAATTAACTGTTGAACTTCTCAAACACGCCTTGTTGACACTGAAGATCCTAAACTTGGGTTCACCTGAGAAACAGTCGAATTACATTTCAACTTGGTTTGTAATTGCTTCGGCCTGTGCTAAAGAACTGGGACATGCTGCATCCATTTGGAAGCAGGTGATTAAAAATAGTGTTGAAGATGAAATCCTATCTAAACCTCCAGGTACCTCCATTAAGCACATCAATCATCTTAGAACATTTTTATCAACCTTGACTGATTTCTATTCTGTGTAACCAGGCAAGAGGTATGCTCTCTCAGTGACGAAAATTTACAGAGTAGTGAAAATTCTGAGAGCCTCAATGAGATTTTACAGACCATGGATTTTATTAGCTCCGACATCACCCAATGTGTTGGCTGTTCTAGACAAGTGTGTTAAGTTGTGGTTGAGCTCTGGATTAGAAGAAGCTTTGCGGAATAATTTCATCCGTTTTCAAAGACTTGACTGTGACTATTCTGATGATCAACTTCTAGAATCAATCAAGAATATAGACGAAGTTGACGCTTTCACACTTCACACCTACATCACCTCAGCCACATCACCCACCTGCTACATCTATGGCTTAAATATTGAGATAGTACCAGGTACGCTTATTCTAACAATTGCACCTAGAAAGATCATATAGACCATAAAGATGCATTGTTCATGATCTCAAACTCTGAATGCTTATTTATTACAAGTCATACATAGTTTGGGTTTAAGTAGACCTGTCTCCTGCGCATTTCGGCTTGGGTAGCGGGTGAGCCTACCCAACCTGAATTACCCTAACTTCTTAGAATACAGTAGTGAAATTACTCGTTTGAGCGAAGATAATTTATTTTAACGGATGAGGGGAAATTGGTAATTTATCTAAATATTGGTTTTGTGTAATTACAGATTTAAAATTACCTAAAGTTATTTATAAGTTCTGAAATGAATATAATTATAGGGTCTGTAAAGCAGTAAAGACCGTGGAATGGAGCAGAGAGCATTACTTGGTACCTCTTGCGAATCTATGGGCCAATCTGATCAGTCGCGATCCACCCATGCTTTCGGGATACCGTTTTCCTACCGTCTCTTAGAAGAAACCTACAATGCCCTCATTACTCATCCAGCAAGCCATTCTCACCGCAGAGCATTTTCGAGCAAACTTATATCCTTCCTTATACCAACCTATACATATTTG